GTGTTGCTCCCCCCCCCCCCCCCCCCCCCCCCCCTCTAATTTAGGGGGAGAGCAGGCTGAAATTATGTGTGTGATTTTTATGGTGAGGCATGATGTCTTATGGGTATTTGACTGTTGTCTGTATTTCAGTTACCATGTGGATGTATGCTTTCTGCTTTAAGGCTGAAAGAATGAAATAATAAAAGAAGAAAGTAATTAACTGAAAAAGTAAAATAGCAAGGTCACATTCTGATCACTAAATATTTTATCAGATAATGTATCTTACGTGCCTTTCTTTCACTGGCAGAAAGTTAGGGTAAGAACTTAGTTGTGCATTAAGACAGCTCTATGACGCTTTCTTGACAGTTTTGAGTGACTGTCTACTGTTTTCTTGGGGTTTTTTGTCTTCCTGATGATTACCTGTAGATTTGCTGTGTTGTCTTGGCACAGCACTCACGACCTTTTCTTACTGTAAAATAACTTCTTGAACTATGTGTTCACATGCATGTGTAGAATATATAGAATGCTTGAGTTGCAAGCAGTGATGCTTTCTTATCTGGAGAAGTGATCAAGTATTGATCCATTGATCAGGGACTCTGTAGTCTCTTCTAACTTTAAATTATATTGAAGATGGAAGTTTGAGGATCTACCTTGGTATGAGAGTTTACCAACCAAATTGAATGCTGCAAAAAGAATTACTTGGTGGGGGTGGGAGGAGAGCATGTGTCATCAGAATCAATGTAAAAATATTCGTTTTGAACAAGGGGCTATTCTGACACAATCAAATTAAAACCTTAACTCCCTTTAAACAGGCATGCCATACCCTATTATATGTTTATAACCTGCCAACAAACAGAGACAGCAAAAGTGTCAGTAATAGACTCAGGCGTTTGTCAGACAACTGTGGAGGGAAGGTGCTGAGCATTTCTGGAAGCAGTGCAATTCTCCGTTTTTTAAATCAAGAAAGTGCTGAACGGGCTTGGAAGCGAATGGAAAATGAAGATGTTTTTGGTAACAGGATTGTAGTGTCTTTTACTCCCAAAAACAAAGAACTTAATGAAACAAAAAGCTCCAGCTCTGTGGGAACTGAAAAGCTGAAGTCTCCCAAAAAAGTTAACAAGAATACAAAGCTGTGCCTCCTCAACAAAGACTCAAGCGATCAGTCTTCTGGTACCAAAGGCTCTGCTGGGAGAGGATTCCAGACTCATGGATCTGTCATCAAACCCACAAATGTTAAAAGTTTACAGGTATTGTTGTTCTAACTTGTTTAGTATTCTTGCTTTTCCTCATGTTCTGAGGATTGTGTCTGTTACAGCTTTAACTTGTCAGTCCTATTTAGTGAATAACTCTAATATATAGTGACATTCCCGAATGAGAGCTGTATTCATCTGCTTGGAAAGCAGACAATGAATTTGAGGGTTGTTTTTCCCTGCTCCCTGCCACCTTTTTCTCAATTTGGAAATACTGCTGGTACTTACTGAGTCTTAAATCCTAGGCCAGTTTTGACTTTTGTATTGGTGTTGAGTATAACATCTGGAGTGATCCATTTTGCTAGTTTTAAGGTGAACTAGGGCAGATCTACAGTGTAGCAAAAATATTTCAACTAATTGACGGTTTACTATTTTCTGTCACAGAAAATCAAATATTTCTGGTTATGAAGTGCCAATGAAAATGCTATTAAAGAAAAATTTGTCAGTTATCTATGTTTCCATCACAAGGAAAGTCTCTGGTAAGGAATGTCTGGTGCTTTTATGCTGACCTTTCATCTGTTTCATATAGGAGCTGTGCCACCTTGAATCAAAGACCATCAGTAGAAATACTGAAAACCAGCAAGAACATTTAAGAGAACAAATTCCTTCTCCTCAGAGTAACTCTAATGCAGCAATTCCTGTGTCTCTGACAACCAAAAAGATTGGAATGGGAGAATCATCCTGTAAAAGTAGTCAGAAGTATGTTTTAAAATAAAAAGACATCAATGTTAGCTACATTTTTAATGTGAATTCTGCAACATAATGTGTTTTCTTTTTCTTACATATATTTGTAAATAGAAAAGAGACCTCTGCTTCCAGGAGCATTACCAATTCTCCTGTAGATAAAAAAGATAAAGATGAAACTGTATTTCAGGTCAGCTATCCCTCTGCTTTCAGTAAGTTGACGGCCTCCAGACAACTCAGTCCTTTGCTCATGTCTCAGAGTTGCTGGTCATCTCGGTAAGTATCTGTGTCTTATTTGGGAGGTGAAGTGAGACTTCACCAATATATACCTCAATTACTGACAGCTGCACATGGAGTTGTGTATGCTAAGCGCATTACTTTAATAAACTGATTTTTTTTGTGGAGGCAAAAGGAAACTGTGATGGTGCTGCATAACATCTAACAGAGTGTGGATGTAAATACAAGGTGGAGTGAACTCTTTTTTAGAAACTTACTATGTGGCAGTTGTTTCCTGCGAACTTTGTCTTTAAAGCTTCTGAAAAATCTTCAGAGGTATTACAGATATTTTATTCCTCTTCCAGTGCCTTTGACGTTCCCAGTAGAAATTTACCCAGGCCCATTAAACTCTTGTAGACTTAAATATCTGGCCTTTGCCAGTTATTAAAATCATGTGAATGAGTTTGACTTTTTTAATATGTTAGTAAGATAGTGCAAGACTTGGTGCCAAATATTATTAAATTGGGTGACTTTGAAACATAATATGAATGACTTGCTATGAGGGGAAAGGAAATATTTGTCTTGTTATGACATTTTGCTTGTGGTGAAATTTGTTTTGCCTGCACATATATGTACTAGGAAAATACCTTCAGAGTACTGTATTTGTGCACTTGACCTATGTCTTTTCTGAATAATTTTGAGATGTATCTATCAGAATTGTGCAATAGCTACTTTAGCTCATAAATGTTTTTATTTTACCCAGGAGTATGTCTCCAAACATCTCAAATAGATCATCTCCACTCACGTTTAATGTAGTAAACCATACCGGTGGTACAGACTGCCCTGATCCTTTTGCAAATGGTACAGACATTCAGATCAGCAATATAGATTACAGATTGTCCAGAAAAGAGTTACTGCAAAATTTACAAGAAATTTTCTCAAGACATGGCAAGGTAAAGGCTAAAATACCTTTATTAAACCTGTTTTTAAATACTTACTGTTTAGGTATTTATGTGGACTTGTGGTCTAGCTTTAAGTGAGTAGGAATGGACAGGTATCCAAACATGACTTTTAAACTTTGTTAAAAGGAGGTACTGTGTTTTTCCTTCAAAAAGACCAGATCATCACTTGCACTAGGTTCTTAATTTGCATGTGGTCTTCACAGATCTGATATTCTGAAGTTTTTTGTGTATAAAATTCTTACTGGCTCATAAGTCATGCAGGGAAGAGACTTAGGCTTTAGCTGTGTAACCTTTTTAAGCTGTAAAGCTGAATTCCTAATGTCAGCTTAAAAATCACAATAAAAACTGAGTTTTTGTTTTGAATCAGAAATGGTCAAAACCAGGCATGGCGAGTGTGAATCAGTAAAAAACAGCTATGCAAGGACAGGTCATTTCTGCAGCAGCCTGTTTCTGTCTGATCTGTAGATGACATTCTTCTGGCATAATCTTCTACATGGGAAGATGATACCTGTGTTAAAGGAATATCATGGTCTTGCCTTGGCCAAAGCTCATTGCACTCAGTTCTTGTTTGCATCGTCCTGCTGGCCATGGTTCACCATGCTCATTTCCCTTTTGCATTGTATTCAGCTCTTGGCTGAATGTTGGCTTGCCTTGAGTTAATGTTTTGTGGTAAACATATAAGATGTTTTTGTCCTTTCAGGTAAAAAGTGTAGAGCTCAGTCCTCATACAGACTACCAGTTGAAAGCTACAGTTCGGATGGAAAATCTGCAAGAAGCCATCAGTGCTGTCAACAGTCTTCACAGATATAAAATTGGCAGTAAAAGGATCCAGGTCTCATTAGCAACGGGAGCTGCTAGTAAATCACTCTCTCTGCTTAGGTAATAAGCACTTTGGCATCTTGTTAATTATTCTAGCATGTATTTAGTGGCTGAGAGATTATTTAAAATACTGAGCAAAGGAATGACAGGGAAATAAAGTAAAATCTGTTTTAGGACCTGAGGAATGTGTTAAATACAACGAGGCTAGTTTTCAGTTCAGCATTTTTAGACTGCTTATATTTTAACTTGCATCTGAAGAGACTAGATCTCTGTTAAATAGTGTTTAATAGTTTCACCACTAATCTTTCATAATACTGCTATAACTCAGTAACTTAATTTGTGCAGCTGAGTTAAAATTACACTTGGCATCTTTATTTCTTCTTTCCTCCCAGAAAGTGCATATGAATTTTCTGTTTGAGGATGGGATGCACAGTTTAAATGCTGTTAGTGTTTCTTTGATCTCCATTTTCTATATGGAAGATGATAGAACTAGAGTGCTGATGCTAGTGAGAATGCAAGTATTTTCCCTTTCAATTTTTTCCTTCCTGAAAGAAAGCATTAGGAAAAAAGTTGTCTTCATCTTTTCACTGGAGCGTTCTGTGAAAATAGTGCTTGGAGTGTGGAGTATTCTGCAGTTATGTACCACTTGCAATTGTATAATTTACAACTTTTAACTCTTGCCTTTTAGTTTATGCCTGTTCAAAGTTCTTAATGTAATGAATGGCCAGGCTGGTAACTTAAAATGGTGCAGCTTTAATGTTGCATTTTATAGATGTTTGAAATCTTACCACCACCTATGAAAGATGCAACTCCTTTATTGACATTATCTAACAAATTAGCAGGAACGTTACTACTTACACAGTCCTAATCTGAAGTGTCAACTTCTGTAGTGCTGGGATGGAAGGGAATGCAATTTGTCCTGTTAGATTTATAGTTCATGAACTGCATCTAAATATCTCACCAGTTTGGGCTGGAGACTAATACTAACAGATTAATTTTATGCTAATGTTACAAAACTTCTTTTCTAGCTCAGAAACAATGTCCATTCTGCAGGATGCACCTGCTTGTTGTCTGCCTGTGTTCAAATTTGCAGAAATCTATGAAAAAAAGTAAGTTCTCAGTCGTTGTTTTTCTGTAGTGCTTCTAAAAAGAATCTGATCTTGTGTGATTGTTTTACAATGAATTATAGAGAGTAACAGAATGGAGTGTTACGGTTTTTTGTTGTTAGATGTTGCAGCATATTATCTATCCAGAGGCAATGACTGTAATACTGCCCTTAGAGGGTTATACTTTCAGTATTTTACTTCATTTTTCTACATTGGGATGAATAGATTAGTCACCTTAACATTTTGCAGAGAATAGTTTCTAGCATATTCCTTTTTCTTAAACAAAAAATGCACATTATTGCATTCTGTAACTGTGTTTATAATGTGTATTTATTTCAATTTTTTCTTTTAGATTTGGGCATAAGTTAATTGTATCAGACTTATATAAACTAACGGATACTGTGGCAATCCGTGAACAAGGAAGTGGGCGGCTGGTGTGCCTTTTACCCAGCAGCCAAGCCCGCCAGAGTCCACTGGGATCTTCACAGTCACATGATGGTTCATCAGCAAACTGTAGTCCTATAATATTTGAAGAGTTGGAATATCACGAGCCTGTTTGTAAGCAGCATTGCCTGAATAAAGACTTTATGTAAGCTGTGTATAAAATACTATAAAATCTTACAAAATATTTGAACAGCATTTAACACTTACAGGTATATTAAAGTTGAGGTATATATGTTCATATAGCGTGCTTCAGTCACTGTTTATATGCTTACAAGAATAAGTTGGGCAGAAAATTGTGAGATGGTACAGTGAGTTTTCTAGGCAGTTCTGGATCAGCCTGTTCAGGTAAGATTATTGTATTCTAACACAGCTGTCAAGATTGAATACCTCTTAAGCAGAAGCTGAAAGGTACACTACCTTCTTCTGGTTATATAGGGAAGTTATACATACTAGAACTTTCTATTAGCCTGAATTTCATTATGGAATTAGAGCTGGAACTCATCATTCTTCTTTGTCCTCCAGCTGCACTTAGTAAGTGATTCATACTGGGTTGAAGATTTCCTGAAGCAATATATTGAGTTCTTTGTTTTATTCAACAGCAGCCAGGTTGTGCTACTAGAGCAGTTATTAGATGCTCACTGTTAACTGCCTGGTATGTGCTGCTAAAATTTAATTTGAAAATTTTAATCTAATGATGATAAAAATGCCATCTTCTAAATGTTGCTTGTCTTCTGGAAATATGCTGTAGCTGTATTAATTTTTGTGAAGAAGAAAAGATGGAAGTTGCTTGTGACTGTGTCTAGTGGTATTGTCAACTAGTAGCAGTATATCGTATATGTGTAGTATAATGTTTACTCTGGGTGTCTATGTGAGCACAGGCATACTATGATAAAGCTATGTGTAGAATGAGCGTATAAACTTCAACCTCTTGTTTTTACAGTGAGCATGAGTTTGATCCAGATTCTTATAGAATTCCTTTTGTGATTTTGTCTCTGAAGACATTTGCTCCCCAAGTTCACAGTCTTCTACAGACACATGAGGGTACTGTGCCTTTACTAAGGTAACGTATTTTAATTTAGGCTTTTAGCGTGAAGCCTGATCAGTTAAAGATTTAAAACTTTATTGATGGCTGTTGTAGTGCTCTGAAACTAACTATTGCATAAAAACTCCAGTTCTTGTGTAAGGTAGTATCTTTTATAGCAAATAAGTGCCTTATAAAATTATTACTTTCTGAATTCATGTTGAGCAAAAAAAAGATGCACTTATTTAAAATGTGCATTTTATGAAGACTTCTGTAATGTTTTAGCAAGCTGTTGAAGCCTCTTGCTCAGGAAGTGTCTAAAAATAGTGATATTTTTAGGGCAACTGTTATAGTGGTATTTTAGTGTATAATGGAAGCTTTTTTTCTTCCAAAGTTTTCCTGATTGTTATATGTCAGAGTTCAGTGATCTTGAAATGGTGCCAGAAGGCCAGGGTGGTGTTCCTTTAGAACATCTAATTACCTGTGTTCCTGGAGTTAACATTGCCACTGCCCAAAATGGCATTAAAGTTATTAAATGGATACATAACAAACCACCACCTCCTACTACAGGTAAATATTTCTATTTAAAATCTTTTCTCTGAACTAATCTTTCTGCTAAAAAATTAAGAGTAGCATAAAGTAAACATCTTGTATAATTGTTAAACTTCTTATAAAGAGAAACTTTTATCTTGAATGTTCATTCTTTTTTTTATTTCCTCCTGTGCTGTAGCCTGTGTCTTAAATGAAGTGCAGTGTTTAGTGACAGAATATTAGCGAAAGGTTCAGTAATATGATTTTTTTTTTCTTTTAGATCCTTGGCTTCTACGTTCTAAGAGCCCTGTAGGTAATCCACAACTTATTCAGTTCAGTAGAGAAGTGATAGATCTACTTAAAAGCCAACCGTCCTGCGTCATACCTGTCAGTAAATTCATCCCAACATACCATCATCACTTTGCAAAACAATGCCGTGTGTCTGACTACGGGTATTCTAAATTAATGGAGCTGTTAGAAGCAGTGCCTCATGTACTGCAAGTGAGTTATATGGCACTGTTCCTTTTAACTTGGGGAATTGTATCTTCAACTATCTGAATTACTGGTTGGTATTGTATAATAGAAGCTATGCAAATATCTAGTCCACCTTGAAAGAGATGGTTAACTGAACCTTGGATTGTAACTGTCATCTTTTTTTGAGATGTCGTTTCTCTTTTGTTATTGTCCCCACCCTCCCAAAACAACTTGTGGGGGAATTAATTCTTTATTTAATCTAAGCCTCTGGAATAAAGTTTGAAGCTGCTTTTTAGCCTGTGGCTAGCACTTGAGTAAAAGGTTTTAGTTGTGTTGTTTACCGTAAGAACACAGCAAACGCTGAGTGCTTCTAAGTTAGGCTGTAATGCATAGCCTGTGACTTGAAGGATTTCTGTGTGAAATAAGTCATGTGGTAATGTGGCCTTACATTACAAAAAAGAAACACTATGGTCACATCAGCTTACTGTGAACACCAGTTGATTGTAGAATTTTAAAGTAACCAATACAAATATGCAAAAGCTGCAATAGCACTCATGGATGAAGCATTTCTTAGTTTCTTGACAACATACGCATTAGTACAGAGAGTGTATGGCTTCATGAGGCTGCCTTTCCAAACACTGTCTCTATTACATCCTTTATTTCTAGCCTACCTATACTAGAACTGGCTTCTAAATATCTTGTAAAAGAAATTACTCGGGATGCTAAATGTGAGTGATCAAATAAAATTTCCTTTCAGATTCTTGGTATGGGTTCCAAACGCTTGTTAACTCTAACGCACAGAGCTCAAGTGAAGCGCTTTACTCAAGACTTACTGAAGCTTCTCAAATCCCAGGCCAGTAAGCAAGTTATTGTGAGGGAATTCTTACAGGCTTATCACTGGTAAGTTATCTTTAATGAAACAAGAACAACTGTGCAGGTCGTGTCTATCAACAGTGGTTTTGAAACCTACTGCAACAGAAGTCAGCACTTTAAATCTTAGTACAAAACTGTGGCAACTATATTGCCTCTCTTGGGATGTGGAAGTTCAAACTTCCAATGAAAACAAAAATTAAAAGCTCTGTGGCAGACTTTACTGCTTCCTTTAGTACTAGGTTCATATAACTTTATTGGAGTTTGAAATGGGCTATTGTATTTCATTAGTTCTCTCTGAAGCCATGACTGCAAGGTTGGATTTAAGCAAGCAGGTCATGGCACATTAACATGAACAATAAAGGGAAAATTTAGTGTTAGGCTTTCTTTAGAGAGAAGTGCAAAATAAATAGACCAATTGACAATAGATGCTCTTACTACTTTAACTGGATCTAGCAATAGTGCAAAAATGAAAAGTAATACCTGTCTTGCTATTGTCAGGAAGAACGTTCTGTTCTAGCATGGTAAAAAAAAAGGGTGGTTTTTGTTGGTTTTTTTTTTTTAAGAACCAAGAATAATTTTTTCCTTGATATGAAGAGAGAAAGCAGTACTTAAGTGCTTTGAGAAAACTATATTATCTTAGTGCTACATGTGGTCTACCTTTTGTGTGCTGTTGTGTTGCATGTGCCAACAGCTCCTTTTTGGGAATGCATGCTTCTACTTGTTTCCTTTATTGGCAAAAATACGTTATTGGTTGTTTCTAAATCTACTAAACGTGCATCTCCATTGTAGTCAGCTCTGGCCATTTGTTGAATAAGAATATATGTGAAGTGTTCTTGCTTTTGAGAGGTTCCTGTTGGGGAGGTGGGGAGAGTAAAATACCTTTTAATATGTTACATAGTATTGTGAACCTTAATATGGTGTTTTCCAGGATACGGTCTCTGCCTTCTCTTGTGACCTAATCTTGTTTAAACAGAGCATATGTCTGTAACTATTAAGCAAATACAGACTGTTGAAAGTGTAGCCATATGGAGCTGTATGACATAATTACATTTTTTTTAAATCACTTAAAACGTGAGCTTGAAAAATATTGTCATTTACCACGACTGGTTTGAGGCATCCACTGGTTCATAGATAGAGCTTTTTCTTCCTATGTCATCTGAACCATCAGTGTGTCTTGTTTTTCTGGTTTGAAATGGATAGATAATTTGAGTTAAGAATGCTTTCACCTTTGTTTCACATGGTAGTATTATTGCCAATATGAAAATTATGCTTATTTTCTTGGTATTTGAGGCTTATTGTCACAACTTACAAATTTTTTGCCTACACAGCATGCATTAATGCTTGTATTACACAATTGTATAAAACTTTCAGGTGTTTCTCTAAGGACTGGGATGTTACTGAGTACGGAGTGTGTGAATTGGCTGATATAATATCAGAAATTCCAGATACAACCATCTGTTTGTCACAGCAAGACAATGAAATGGTAATTTGTATTCCCAAAAGAGGTATGTCCATGTACTTTTTTTACCGTTGCCAAATAAATTGTTCTTCTACTATTTTAAAACTGTACTAACTAAAGTATGTAGGAGTGACTTGAATTTTTTATAATTATGTTTCTACCTTCCTGACTAAGTTATAAACTTTTTAGTGAATAAAAAATTTTTCATTCTAGGAACACTTATAATGGAACAGACAGGAAAGCAGGTGGCAAAACACATAAAATAATGTTACTACTTCTGTGTGTAGTTAAACTTTCTGTGGAATGATTAGAGTGGGTTGTTGCCACACAGCAAAAATACCAACATATTTGGCTATCTAATATCTTCTAAAGTGCTGATCACCTGATTATTTTGGACTTTAAACATGTAAGCTTAGTAAAGGTCTTCAGTAGTAGAAGAAAATAGTGAGTTGGTGTGATACACAATTAACCTGAAAATCAATCACCATATCTTCTTACTATATTCTGTTCCATTTTATAAGTGTGTTGGTACCTAGCTCTTGTTTTGTTTTTTAATTTTAGAACGTACACAAGAAGAAATTGAAAGAACCAAACAATTTTCTAAAGAGGTAGTAGACTTACTGCGCCATCAACCTCATTTTCGAATGCCCTTCAATAAATTTATTCCTTCTTATCACCACCACTTTGGTCGTCAGTGCAAACTTGCTTACTATGGTTTTACAAAACTACTTGAACTCTTTGAAGCCATACCAGATGTCTTACTTGTAAGTTCTAAAATCCTAAGCTGTATTAATACATTTTTGAGATCTGTGCGTGACTTTCATCAGGGGTTGTATTTCTCATTAACTTTAGTATGAGTTACAAACTCTGCACCTCTAATGTTAGCCAGCTCTATTAAAGTCTTTGATATAGCTGTTTTGGTTAAATGGTCCAAGTTTTTTAACGCGTTCAGGCTAAGTTTGTTAACAAATTCAAGTTTTCTAAATTGCATTATACTTACAAAATTCAATGCATCAAAATTAGAGCTAAGTTTCATTAAAGTTGTGTTAAATTTGCTTTGAAAAAGGTTAATAGCTATTTAATTGCCTATTGTTGTATTTCAGAAATTACATAGTTTTGCTTGCTATATGGGTATCTTTCGAGGTAGCTGGGCCCTGCTACATAGCAAATGATTGTCTGGAAGCACTGAATTTTAGTTGCAGATTGTACTTTTTTCATCCAGATGAGGTAAATCACTTTAACAAAGTGTAATTTCTGTTTTGTAGGTATTGGAATGTGGGGATGAGAAAATTCTCACGCTCACGGAGGTGGAACAAGTCAAAGCAATTGCTGCCCAGTTTGTTAAACTGCTGCGGTCTCAGAAAGACAACTGCCTTATGATGACTGATTTACTGACAGAGTACAGTAAAACATTTGGATACACACTGCGTCTTCATGACTACGATGTTAGCTCAGTTCCAGCTTTAATGCAGAAACTTTGCCATGTTGTAAAGGTAATCTTTTAACTTTGAAGTTTATCCCTCTAAAAGGTATGTAATGTTGTGTTAAGGAATTTCCTGTCTCAAATTACAGGTCTCGGTGTGCTTAGTATTGTAGTATAGAAACAATATTTCATTAAGTCAGGAGCAGGGGGGATTGCAAAGGGATTTTAAATGTACCTTCTATATCCCAATGATGTTCTCTTTGTTCTTTTGCAACCTTTCAACGTTCTCTCAACAAATAATAAGTAAAAGATTGTATTATAGTACTTATTTTAACATTACAAATTGTTTTTTCCCACCTGACTTCTAACTGTGTAAAAGCAATAATTTCCTGATAACTGTAGTAGTTATCAGTCTCCTAATGTTTTATAGTCCTGATTTTTTTTTACCTATGGTTTGAGGCTTTGACTCTGAATGTAAATACATAGATGGTCTTACATGTTAGTGGAAAAGAAGGGTTACAGCCACATGGACATGGTCATACTGGTTTAGTTGTTCCAATTCTGTTATTTTAGCAGCTGGTGTTCAGGCTGGAGTTCAGTCAGATCCAGCTGGCTTGGAACAAAGAGTAAAATCATGTCTACCATGTGGACAAACTGCTACGCTGCTTTTGTATATTTAATTTTTTCCATGTAATAAGCTTCTTTATCCTGTGTGGTTTTGGCTACGGGAGTATCAGATGTTGGTATGTAATGTCAGATATGGCTGTGCTCAGACAAACCCCAGCCACACAAGTTATTTATAAATTAATCTCTTCCCTGTCCCTACCTTCATTCCCAATTCATTTTCTTAGGTTGTTGACACAGAGTCTGGCAAGCAAATTCAGCTGATAAATAGAAAATCTCTGCGGACTCTTACTGCCCAATTGCTAGTCTTGTTGATGTCCTGGGATGGAACGTCCTTTCTTTCTGTTGAACAGCTTAAACAGCATTATGAAACAACCCACAGTACTTCACTTAATCCATGTGAATATGGATTTATGACCTTAACTGAACTCCTGAAGAGTCTGCCTTACTTGGTTGAAGTATGTAAGCTCTTTTTCCTTTCTGGTGTGTTTCATGCTTTGAAAAGATATTGTGACTAGAGAATACGGAAGTATGCACTCCAATTCTTCATCTTCTTTTTCTAATAGGTTTTTACCAATGGTGCAACAGAAGAATATGTGAAGCTTACAAATCTGTATATGTTTGCAAAGAATGTAAGGTCCTTACTTCACACTTATCATTATCAGCAGATCTTTCTTCACGAGTTCTCACTAGCTTATAGCAAATACACAGGAGAAGTGCTGCAACCTAAAGCATATGGCTGCAATAATTTAGAAGAGCTCTTGGGAGCAATTCCACAGGTGTGAAGAATTGTTTTGCACAGTTACATTGAGATTTCTGCATGGATTAAAAATAGTTATACAATTGTGGTTTCTGTTACTTGGTTTGAATTACTGGAATAGTTACCTTCTCCAAGGAGGCTTATACCAGTTGTATTTTTAATAGCTTCTGAGAAATCTGGATTGTGTAATAAGAAAAAGAAAATACTTTTTTTTTAATGTGTTTTGGTCAAATTTTGCTTAAGAACTGTTCCTGGTGAAGCCACAAACATCCTTGGCATCTTTATCAAGTGACATAATTGATTTCTGTCTTGAATGAATGAACAACTGTACAGTACTGAAGCTTCATTTTGATCAGGGTAGATTAATTGGTTTTAGGAGTGAAGAGTTGTGGGACCTTGTCAAAAGTGCAACATAGTGGAGTTTTTTTGTGGCATCTTGTCATCCACATGTCCTAAGTGCTCTAGGCTAATTTTGTGACCCAGTTTATGGCTAAAAGGTTTTCTTTAAGTAAATTAATTTTTCTGGAGTGTGACAAAATGAAATTTTGCAACTCCATGTTTAAACATATAATTTTGTTAATATATAGTTAGTATACTTTCTAGCTCTGTAGTTTGCCTTTGGCATCAGTTATTTTGAGACAGAGCTTTTACTTGGGTAGTGTAGTACAAATTAGCAACATGATTTAGTTTACTTTTAGAAATAATGTCAGTGCAAGGCTAGATGAAAGGCAGTGAATAAGCTTCTTTAGGCTTTGAGCTTAGTATGTGCTGATGTTGAATTCTACTTTTTTTTTCTCTATAGGTGGTCTGGATTAAAGGGCATGGCCATAAGAGAATTGTGGTACTAAAGAATGATATGAAAAGTAAGCTATTTCAATTTTGAGCAGTATCTTGGTTTCCTTTTTCCTTTTTTAAGAGGTGACTTGAGTAACAAAACCAAATGAACTTGCCTTTTTGTAGCTCGTTTTAGCTCACCTAGTTTTCCCCCTGCTGATCATGTGGATGATCATGGAAATCAACTTGCTGACAATAATGGACATATTATGGAGACCCCAGGATCCACTTCATCAATGGAACTAAGTCTAGGAACACCTCCTAACAACGGTAATGCAAAATTGAATTATATAAGAAATTTATTATCTTAGGGGAAATAAGCAGAGTAATCAAAGCAGCATGGGGAAAGCTGTCTGAGTTAGTCAATCTGAACTTCTGTAGAAATGCTTTATGGCTTGAAGGCTGTTGAACTTCTCCCAAAGTATATAGTTAGCCATGTGTCCTCTTGACAAGGGCATCTGTTGTCCTCAGCTGTCAGTATATATATAGCTGCTAGACTACTGTTTCCCATGGGTTTTGTGAAAATTTAAGGCTATAAGCATAAAACTAATGAGAAAAGATGGTCAGTAGCAGCTTCTGCTAGGAATGTCTCCTGTATTCTGATGAGAATGTAGTGCTCTTTTGTGCTGTTTTTATGTTGATTTTGTGTTGTTACTTATTTCCAAATAATAATGGCAGTCCTGTTTGTCTGTCCCCAGATAAAAATAACGGGGAAAGGGTGACCTCATAGTTCATATCTCGCTGTGGTCTCCAATTCTTTACCACCTGCAGGTTGGAGAACTTGGGGAATGGTTCTCGAGTTATTTCAGAAGTCTAGGCTTATCCCTTTTAATAAGGGAAATTCACTTGATTTTGAAACTTTCAGCTTAATTTTCACATGTAAATGTGTTAGGTGGTACCTAAATAGTTGATGAGATATTGGTATGTTTGCAGGGGAGTTGTCTGGTAACTGGCCCTTCTCTGTTAAACACTGTTCCTGTAGGACTTTGTTTCCACAGCTCTTCTTCTATTACTCAAGTTTGGCAAATACCAGATTTTACTGTAGGGCTATATTTACTCAGGCAAGCAATAGGTTTAACATACTATTGCTTTGTGTGCTGTATTGTAATTAGTTAGATGCTCTTGATCCAGCAAAGTAGCTCCTGAATGAATTTGACGTTAGTTAGCATTAATTAATTGGATAATAGTATTTCAAATATGGCATAGCTCTCAAATCCTCAGAATCACATCTGAAGATTTTAAGTTTACTAACTCTGAAATAGTGATGCATTCACAGCTTACAGATACTCTGAAAGATGTTCCCTTATTTTTGTAGTTTCTAATCAAACTGAGCAAGAACTTCTTTGCCTCACAAATACATCTCCCATTGACCTCTTGTGTGAGCCAGTTCCTTCCTGCCTACCATCTCCGCAACTGAGACCTGATCCAGTGGTTCTTGAGTCTGCAGACCTCATTCAGTTTGAGGAACGCCCTGCCCCTCTCTCTGGTAAGAGTTTGCTTGCCTATGTTGTATTACTTATGCATGATAACTCATACGATTTGGAAAATAAAGCATCAAATCATTGATTCTGTAAAGTTCCATTTAAATACATACATATGTATATGTATTACACAAGGGGATGCGTTGGCAATGCATGTGGCTTCCATCAGAAACTCTTGAGTACTCACTGTAAGTACCCTACTGTGATTCTCTGGCGTGAATTTTATAGGGACCTTATCTACCACTAAAATTGCATTTTGCTAACCTGCAGCAACCTTTTCACCACACTAATTTCGTAGTGCTTTTCTGAGCACTGTGAGACTTTAATGTGTGAGAAATAAATTAAACTTTCTAAATAGTACATGATGCAGACAGAGCCAGAAGCAATCATCACATCAGCTGCAGAGGTGGACATGACACATCTTCTGGCTTCAAATCATGCTGACAAGTTCTTTTTAAATATTTTGTGGCCTATTATCAGAGAAACATTCTTTATTTTTCAAGAACAGAGCATCAATAAATTGAGTTGTCTTATTTATTTTAGAGATAATGATTTTAACAGAAGAAGAAAAACAAAGAATTGTTACCACAGCTCAAGAAAAATTGACCTCTGGTTCTGTGGTATCTAACACCACAGAGAATGCTTCAGTGTCTCCGTGTCAGTCCTCTGAAACCCAACTAAACAAGGAAGCAATGGACAGCCCAGCCAAAAAGCAACATAAAAACAAGGTGAAATTGGCAGCAAACTTTTCACTTGCACCTGCAACCAAGCTTTAACTCTTTCTTTCTTTTTAGTGTGAATGACAAGTACCTATGGACTCTGCACAAAGTAAAGCTATTTGCTAGCCCTTATGTATTTTAATGAAAGGCCTGGAAGAATTAATTTGTATTTAATGTATTCTGTGAAGATTTTGTTCCTTTTACACTGAACACAGCTGTTAGCAGAGCAGATTTTTTCTATAATTTTGAAAAAAATTCTGGCATTTGTTAAATTATTCTTAAATTTCACAGTTTTTCATATCTGTGTGTTCAGTAAAAGCAAAATATTAATTCAACAAAAATGGAACAGATTTTTATTTTCTTTAAGCCTCGTTGGTGGTGTAATCATACATGTAGCATATTGTATTCTATAGGCTGTTGCTTACTGGTATTGTTTCAGACAGTATTAATAAAATGCATGATCTGTCTTTCAAAAGCCTGTTGAGAAATTTAACTTGCTGACCTGAAATGAGAAGAGTGAGGGAGTTGATTGTACTCCAGAGGAGAAACTTGTTCTCTGACCTTTCAGATGACTTGTAACTGCATTGGAAATTCTTTTGTCTAAAGATGTCTGTAGAAGATTATGTGGATTTTTTGTAAAACTTGTTTTAAATGTTTTCTGTAGCTTTCAGTTCCATTTAGGAGCTTTCTAGGACATTAATGCTTTAAGCTTCCCTTTTATATTTAGTTCCAGTTGGGCATGGATTCGGTTAAGGAAAAGACTGTCTTGGTGTCATGAGTTTAAGATACAGACACACACATTTTACTGTGTCTAGAAACGAAGTTAGGAAGGTTCTGATATTTCTGAAATATGCATTTAATGCATAAATTACAGATAATGGAGCAGATCTTATTAAAATGTTTTGTGATGGAAGGTATTGATGCTATTTCCACCTGTAAGGACAGTTCTAATTACATGTGGAAATGCTAAGGTTGTTCAGCTTAACCTTGTTTTCTGTTTTTATGCATGTTCAGTAAATGGGAGGCTTATTCTTTGATATGCTGTCTTTTAGCTGTGTCTGTTTTTATTCTAAAACTTACTCCTAGTGTTGGAAGCTTTTTTCAATTTGTGGTATCTTGTGTTGGCTTTTGAAAGGGCCAGCTTTGGAAGAGAGGTTAAGTCAGTGGATGACCGTAACTCTAGGTAGCAGAAATGTCCAGTGTATGAGACTTTATACCCATTCTGGGTAACCGTGGCACTTACAATGGGTTGTATTTGCCAGGCAGCAAATAAATTGCTTGTAGTATTGAAAGAACATATACTAGAGGTTTTCCACTGGCCAACTGAATGTTTTTTAGGTGGATTCTACTGTAAAGTACAAGAGATGGAACATGGGCTCTAACTTCTCAGCCAGCAACAGGAAATGCTACTGAATAATGGCTATAGACAGAATTTTACTAGCCAGATTTTGTTATAAAATCTTTTAAATTTAGGCAAGTATTACCAATAGTGAACTTATAGCCATTGTGAATGCAGAGAAACACTTGGAAGTTTTTCTGAGCATTATGGCACAGTATTTTGAGTCCTTAGTAAACATCTACAGACATAGTGCTATAGAAAGAGAAATTTAGAAGTAAGCTTTCTTGGAATGCTTTTAGTGAGTTAAATGCAAGAACATCTGCTTTCACCTTAAGTTTGATAAGGTTAACACTTATCAGTCTAGATCTTTGTTTCAGAAGAGCATGCATTTGGAAAAAAGACCAACCTGAAATTATATTGTTGAGATGCAGCTACAAGTCATCTGGAGTACTAAAGAAAACCAGGTTTTTGCTTCAGAGGAGAACATGGTATTTGTCAAAGTGAGTGTGGTGATTATACCATTTATGGAGGTCAGCATATCTTTTCTGGATTCATGTGTGATTCTGATGAAATCGCTGTTTGAAAGTAATAGAATAATACTTTTGAGAAGTTGTGTTCATAGTGTAACAAAATAGCTAATTGAATTGCAATATATTTTTTTATCCAAAGGGTTAAATGAATGATGTGACTTACAGATTTAAAAGCATTGCAACCATTAAATTCTTTAATTTAACAATTAAATGTACAACTTCAGATTCATGTCTGTTTAAAAAAAAATTCACTGAAGCCCTCAATTGATGCACTATCTTTTTCTTGGAATGGGAGGGAGAAGAAAAAATTCTTTTCTTAGCTGTCTACTTTGTTTGGACACTTTCTTTTGTGGCTCAAGTGCTGTTTTGTGTGTTGGGACCAAACAGTTGTGTCAATAAAATTTTCAAGCAAGCATAAATCTTGTCCTTGTCTGAAGACCTGAAAAAAACCCCCTGTTCTAGAATCCTTAACTTGCTGTGTCACATTCAGTTCAATTATCCAGACAGAGCAGAGAGCTAAAATTTGGGATTTAGTGAAGACAAAAGAAATAGCATAAATCCACAACTTGCTATTCTGCAAAATGAGGGTTTTCCCAATTTTTGCAATTCAGCTGTTAGCAGATGTACTCGGTATCTCTTACTGCTCTTCATACAACTTAATGTTTAGAGTTTATTTTAGAAGGAAACCGTAGGAGCGTAAATACAATGGGTGGAAGTAAGGTGTTCGTCCTGAGTTTTAGTCTCACTTTGAAATGTTAAAATTAATGTGAATAATGTCATATGGAGTGTTTACTGAGCAATAAAGTTAACAGGTCACTTTTCAGTTACAATAGCCTTGTTTTCCAGCTTGCTGAAGATAGTAATTATCCAGGAACTACAAGTCTGGCAAGCAAGTTACTTTGCAGCTTCACTAGAGTGCTTTGAACTTTACTTCAGAATCTAACAAAATAATTAAAAAAAAAAATAATCTGCAACTAAATTGGACTGCTGTCATTTCACAGCTTTATGGATAAAAGTAAAGAGCTGGATGAGCTGCTCCTGACTTTCTCTTTTTTTTTGTGGTCTTATTACATATTCTTACTTAATGGAACTCTTAAGTGGAACAGTCTGCTAGAGTAAATGTCAGGCCTGCTTCAGGTAAGTGTTCACTTGACCTTGCAGAGTACTTGTTCAGTAAACAATTTTGAAGTTACTACCTAAACAAATTGTTTAGCAGGAAACTCTCCATAAATAGTGTAATAAATATCGCCCTTTAAAAGGAGGGGCAGGCAGTTTATAAAAACCATTTTATAGCCTCTTCACCAATACCACAAACTGTATAATCACCACTCTAATTTTGTTCTCTCAGTAGTTGGGAATGTTTTAAGTATGCATGAGTAAAATCCCTTGTACCACCTGGTATGTGATTACCTTCAAAAGGTGAGTTTGATTTTAATTGTTCTCTTGTTATCATGCTGGAAACATTCCCACTTCTTTAATTCTCATTTGATGTTAAACCATCTGTTTATATTAGAAAAAGCTTTTAAAAGTCATGATAGAAATAACTTTGGTTTTTTTTCTAAAATTAATATGGCTTGTTTTGTCTCCCATAATGTAACAGGACAGAGTGTAATTGCATGGTGAACTATGGTTTAACTCCTATTTCTATTAACTCTAATTAAAAAAAAAAAAAGCACAACAAGGGGACTTGGGCATAATGCCAGAGAAGGGCATTAGGGAAGTGACTTAGCTGATGTTTCAGGTGTAATGTGGAATAATACTTAATAGGAAGCATGACTAAGAACATAAGGCTGTTTCTTAACCTTTGAAGTTTCTGAACAGAGGAGTTGACAAAGGGCTTTTCCTTTGGACAAAGCAAAGCTTTTGGGTGTGAAAGAGTAAGAAAGAAGCAATCTTTCTATAGAATAGGCTGAGGACTTTGATTTTGGCCACAAAGGACAGATTGCTTTCTGTATTCTAGACAGTCTCAGGACTGGTATGGAGAGAAAAACTGACTGCTTGGAGGAAAAAACATGGCCTTGATTTGCTTAGATAGCTCTTTACAGAAACATGAGCAACTGAAAACTGAGTGTTATCAGTGAAGCCTGCTTATCAGTCTGTCGGAGTAACCCTTCCTTTTAATCTTGTCACTTAATTTCTTGCCTCTGACACTTGAAATGTGTTAAGTGTCTTTGCAGCTAACCTTTTTGCAATATGAATATTTAATCTCTTTTGTGCATTTGAAAACTAGTTTGCAAACCTTGGCTTTAAGTGATTTCCCATTCAAAGCTTGACCTTGATACCTGTTCAGTCTGTGTGACCATAGAAAGTCAGATGCTGATGTACATTAAAGTCAGCATTTTATTAATGTATAGTGTGATGTCTTACAGTGGATATATGCTGTGAAACAATTGAGATACCTAAGAGATCTTTGGATATTTTCCCACAATTGAGCTGGTATTTGTTCAGAGGATAAGGTACGATGTTGCTACTCTTCCAGCATTCACTACTTTTAACATAGTATTCCTTCTCTTATGGACTGTTTTTATGTTTAATATTACATAGATGGAGAAAATTGGGAAAAAAATCTTAATTCAAGTGACTATTAAAATGGTTTGTAGTGTTATACACATGCTATAGGAAGCAGACTGATATAAATAGAGAATGCTATTTTACAAGAAATTTCTGGGATGCTGCTTCAAGGTATTGTTTCTGAGCATTTTCTGTAGAGTAAAAAAGGCTTCTCTAGGATACATCAGCTTTAAGGCCTTTTTTAGATGCTCCACTAGTCCTATCTAATCCTATGCACTCTTGTATGTAGAATACCTAAGAAAGAGATTTTGTTTGGGTTTTTTCTCTTTTGGCTAATTGCCACTGACAGTGTTGCATTTGTTTCCCCTAAGCATTTAAACAGTTTGGCTATAAGTAGTGACAAGCTTGATAGAAGAAGCCTGACCATGCTGGTTGCACTTAAAGGGAGAGTTCTTTGAGGTGCAGATTGGTGCATTTGAAGACATCTCAAATTTAAGCTCAAGCTATTAGGACAGGATTCTTAAATGATGACTGAAGGATGTTGACAACAGACTTGGGGTCAAGAGGATAGTATGGATATTATGCACTGAGACCTAAGCACCTTATCAGACTGCAGGCAAGTTATTTATTCTTACCTGAAGAGTAGGATAAACTTCTAATATGTGAAGGGAATTCAGAGAAAAGTAATAAAGTTGTGTGAAGGGAGAGAGAGGAACCGTTCACATGATAACCCTGTAACCAGAGATTGCTTTCATATTTTCTGTTGTGTTTTTTTTTAAAGGTGTGGGAGGGGAATGTGAGGGTGGAATATGACAAGTATGTGGAGACTTCCAGGATGCTCTCAGAGGAGAGAGAGCTAGGATGAAATAATCATAAATGGATTAGGGAAGGAATATGGAAACTTCCTGAAAATGATATCTCTAAAAGCTTGTGGTCAGTACCTTGAAGGATCCATATCCTGCAGGATTTCAAGATACCCTGGACTTTGTCCAAAGCATAGGTAATGCCTGTAGGAAGAGTAACAGTGCAGTAGCAAGATGACTGATACAGAAATTCCCTGCCCTCACTAAGACAGTTTGCCACCTGAAAACTTGAGCAAGGTATTCCTGCACCGAGATGATCTTCCTGCTTTTACAGATCTCCTGTGTAGGTACAGACAAGGTATAAAAGCATCCAGCCTGTACTGTGGCAGCAGCTTGGAACACCTGGCATTTGTTTTCAAGAGTGAACGTTAGAATTTGTTGTGCTGCATGTTTGCCAAGGCTTTGAAGAACTAGTTTTACAAGGTCAGGTTGGAGGATGGCCTGGTGTACACCTGGGAAGATGTGGCTGAAGACAGTCATGAGTATGTGTATGGAATGTTTTTATCTTTAACTGTTCTGAGGACTGGCAAACATCCCAGCTGACCCAGATATGCGCTCCTGTGTTAGTAATATTGGCTGTATGCCGTTAGTTCTTTCCGGATCCTTGTTGAAACATATATAAGTTTGATTATTTTGTGAAATAAATGGAATCTTGTACAGATAGCTTGAGCGCTTAATTCAGTCGCCACATATACTTGTGGTGCTTAGCTCTGTATTTTGTGTTATAAGGGACTGCTTTTAGTCCCAAGACAAATTGTGGAAATTGGAGTGTTCCTTTTGCTCGTGATGATACAGGTGATGTCTTTGGAAACTATCTCTTATTATAATCAGTTGAGCTTGACAGCCCTAAAGCAAAAGCCTTCAAAATATTTCCTTTAAAACGTATCTGTGCCAAACAGTGTTTTGGAGTGATTATAATCCAACTTTGTATGCCTAAGGAGGCTGTAGAGCAGCGTTTACCAGCTCAAAAGCAAAGCAATTTGTGAGCTGTGACATTGTGCCAGAAATAAGTTTGTAGCAATTCAGGATGAAAGATGGTGAGAAACATCAGCTGTTGCAGACTTATTTTGAGTTGACATTTATTCATTTCACCTTGAGATTTGGAACTTGTATTACTGCCAGAAGCTGTTCTACTTAGTATATGGCACATACAGTAATGCTGAGCTGACTTGCCTACAGCCTTACTCAGTGGTGCTGGGATACAGGACATAATAAAGCCTCAGGCATTCCAGCAGGTCAGATGGTATGTGGCTGTCAAAGCGCTATTATATGTTATGCTGCGGGCACAAGTCTCAAGTCAGTCTTTCAGCTATTGGATTCACAAGTAATAAAAATGGTATTCTGCCAGGAAATCCATTTTGTGTGATGAAGTCTACTGGTAAGGAAAAAAAAGCAACAAACAACTTTGTCAGTGTAGATGAGATGGATAATTGGCTCCAAGAAACTTGGAATTAGCTGCAATCATCTCTGCTGGTTTTGAATTTTCTTAAACTACTCTGCAATTTACCTGAAGCAATTTTTGGTAGCAGTCCAAGCCATAAAATGGAGTGCTCAACAGGCCAGCAATTATTTCATTAGCTCTGACATAGACCCTGCAGGTCTGTTCTGTACAGCCTTACCAAACAGGCTGAGAGCAGCATGAGACAAGGCCTGGTCACTTAGGTGTTCCTAGTGCTGGAGCTCTGTGTGCTGCAGTGACCACTGTGGGCATGGGTGGAGTTCTCACAGATGTTCCAGCTCTGAAATCCTGATGGCAACTGTCTTACCAGGTTCCAGGTATCCTGGGCACAGTGCATATTTTGATGGATGGTAAAGGACCAGGAATGCAGGGTGAGCTCCATTACTGTCTCCGCATGGAGGCACTTGCCAGTGATGTTGAGGGAGCTGCAGTGGTGTTCTTCCAGGCTGCAGTGTCACCAAGAACACTCACCCTCAGTTTGACTCTGGACTCAACCATTGCTTTCTAAGGACAGGTATTTCTACTTCTTAACTTTATTCAGGTGTGTAAATGATCTCTTAAAGGTAAATCTCCTGCTAA